TCTGTCTCCCACCTCTCTCTGATTTCAGACTCTTTGCATATACCCAGACATGCCTTTGACATGCACCACCCCATCAGGGTGATGCTTTCAGAGTAGCCTCATGCATCTTGGTCATCCTTCTTCCCAATAGCTTTGAAACTCTCTCCCTGAATATTTTCAATAGGATAAACTGAAAACCAATTTAAACCCAAAAAACCCCAAACAATCCCCACAATCAAATACATGCTCAAATTGTTAGGCAATGAAAAAAAACAGGTGTTAGGGGTTCAATACCAACCCTAATTCCCATCTCACATTTCTATAAATTTTACAGTACAGTGTAGAAACCGCCAAGCACATCTTACACCCTCCTTGCTATACAGATGAACTCCAACAGTTTCCTTGCACATGCTCCCCCTTCCTGCCTATGCTTAGTATAAAAGTTTTCTTGTTACACTGAGTGGGGAAAAAAACCACAACAAAACATGTTTTCTTAGTGGAAAATTACTAACTTAGGTTTAAAGACAGTATCTTGAGTTAGCAGATGGAGATCCATTCTGGAATTTCCATTGGATCTGTCTGAAGCAGCAAACCTAAGTTGCCTTGTCCTCATTGCTCTTTTAACCTCCACTAGCAAGCCTGAGCCAACCCACCCACATTTAGAGACAACCTTTATTTGCAATATAAACAATATCCATGTCACGATGGATAAAGGACAGATCTGTGGGATTTCATACGGGAGAAGACAATTTTTTTTGACAGCCATTGGTTCCTAAAAACCAGTTAGGTTATTCTATGAGTGTATTAGTCTATGAGGAGGTGGGATATGTCTTGGGGGATCTAATGACAGACCAGAGAAAAGGACTGAATGGAAGACGGAGACGCTACTTTCATCTACATGAAGAGAAACCAGAAGTAAAGGTCCCTTTCAGGAGGGATAAGGGGTCTCCCAGAGAGAGCATTTAAGCAACAGACTGGGAGGGAGAGGACATCAGATCATGAAGAGGGTCGATGCGATGACTTGTTTCTCAGAGTGAATAATTTTGCGCTTAATCCAAATACAAGTGATGAGTTGTAAGAGTGGTGAAAATGGCAAATAAATTCTAGGAAATTGCATATAAAGAGGAATCATTGTTATTAAATCATTTAGGATGGATGTGTTTCAAATCTAGCTCACAGTTGAAACTGTTTTACAGCTATAGCTGTGGAGTTTTAACAAAACTGTGGAATCGCAACGTATCTGCCAGAGATTTATTTTAAGGATTGTAGGGTGGTTACATAAATGAACCTCAATAGACTCAACATGTTGTTGTGATCTGAACTCTTCAGTGATTTCCACTGCAGTTATGTATGCAAGAACCAACAACATGTGTGTATTTGTGTGCACAGATGCAAAAACAAGATGGGGAAATTGCACACACACGTGCAGGCTTATCCCCCAGCTCCATAGGCAGGCTTTCTGCAAACTGCTCCTACAGAACAACAATACTATTTCTTAACATTAGCATCATGGTATTTCTTTTCACTTGTCCTCAGAGATCTCTTGTTTCCTCTGATCTGCCTCCTGTCTGTTTTAGAAAGGAAAGACTACACTGTCCAGCACTCTCCTGGTACTTGATCTCACTCCAAGATTCGGGTGCTAATCCCACCACCTCTGCACTGCCTGTCTCTCCTGTTGGTGCATGTGTTTGTGTACAGACACGCACATCTGCTAGTGACAGCCCTACACCGGCTGCTTTCCCTGATCTGCTCTGTACAGGAAGGGGACAGGACTCTGGCCCATAGCTGGCTCCGTTGCCCAGCTGCCAACATCAGCTCCCATTCCTTTTTCTCCAGAAACTATATATTGCATTTCTACTTCAAACACACCTCTGCATCAACTGTCAGTCCAGCAGTCCAAAGACCCTAGTTCCCAGGTGCTCCCATTCTCCTCACTATGGGAGGACATTCTCCATGGGAATTTGGCTACTGAAGAACTAGGATACACAGGAAAAACTTCAAAATCTGACTTTCTTCTTTGACTGCTTCCAGCAGATAGCTGGAACATTTAAGAAAATTCATTCCAAGCATGAACACTGAGCACTTCTGAAAATACTGGTTCCAAACTTCTCAAGTTGCGTTAATGGTTTTAGAAATTCCTGTTGACACAGATATGGCTGTTAACTCCTCAGCTCTGGAGGGTAGAGCATGTGCTAACACTCACTTGATGGTCTCAACAATTCTCCTTGACCACAGAGATAAGTCACACAGCAGAATGTTCTTGTTGAACACAAACATTTTAACTATATCAATTTCTTGGAAGATCTCTAATTAATCAGTAATGTTTCAATGGAATAATAGCCACAAACTTAGTGGCAATTATAGAAATGTGCTTTGCTTGATTTATTGAATGCATGAGTACGAGCTTTTTAATGAACAGCGAGTGATGATGCACTGGCAGGACAACAGGGAAAACGGAGGAAGGGATATTGAAAGCTTTAAGCACTGCTCTCCTCTCTGCTGTCTCGCTCTCTGTCTTTCTCATACATTTGCCCTCTCTGCCCATGGTTCCACTGTGGAAGCCATATGGCTTCCAACTCTCTTCTAAGCAGCCACTGAGAATTGTCTGTAGTGGAATTCTGCCAAAGCCCTTCCTGGTTTAATGACATGGGGAAGAGCACTGTGCAGGGCTCACCCAGGACAGAGACTCGCTGCGTCCTTGATTACGATCCTGGAGCCAGCAAGCGATGCTGGGAATTGAACCATCAGTGCCTCAAATACAGAAGCTGACATGTGCCAACCCCTGCTGCATTCAGCCTCTGTGCACGGCATATTAATGAGTCTTGAACTTGAGGTCCAACCTTCAAGCTTGCACAGAAGGAATGACCCAAAGGAAGGGGAAAAAAAGGTCCTCTTCATCCTGTTTGCCTCCAACCTTGCATAGTGACACTAGTTCCTTCACTGAGCTTGTGCAGTCCTGAAGCAGTAACTTTTGTTTTAGGCCATCACACCATAACTCTGCGTACATAAACACAATTTTCCTTGATTTAAAAATTTGAAAAACTATCCTGAAAATATACTTAAAACAAACATATTAAGCCAGGAGAGTATATGAGGGGACAGATGATTTAGTACTAACCCTCATTCTCATACGCTGTCCATCAATACCTGCTAAATGTTGGAGTCAGGATACAGAGTTAGCTGGAGCTTTCTTCAGCCTGTTTTTATGTCCCGTGACACTAGATAGCAAGAATGTGTGGTTATCAGTGTGGTAACAGTCTCAGTCTAAATGGGAAAGAGGAGGGTGCTCAGCCTGGGGGCTGCATTCCCATAGCAGTGCAAAAGAGCATTGCTGGGGACCCCTCAGAGCCATGGGTGTCAGAAAGGGAGCCCAGTTCCTGTGGAAGCTGGTGATGCATTACAGCCTCCAGCTGTATAACCCAGTTTGGAATTGCTCAGTCTTTTTTCACTTGAATTTCTGCATTTAGAAGAAAGCCACAGCCATCTATGAGTCAGCTGGAACATTGGGCTCAGGGAAATTTTGCAGCATTTCTTTTGGCTTTGCAAATGCCTGGTGTGTAATGAAAGCTGGACTCTTATTTTCTTAGAAAAAAAGAATTCCATGTGCATACTTGGTGGCAGAGGCACAATACAGATGAAAGAGCCCCTACAGAAGGATGCTCTCTTTGGAAAGGGTTGCACCTCTGGAGGGAATTTTGACAACCTATGAAAGCTGTGTCCTGCTGCAAATCTGTCCAGAAGTCAGAGAAAGGGACAGCTGTAGAGGGTGAACAGAGCCAATATAAAATGTAACTCTCCAGGACAACATGTTTCTCTAGCAGTAAGAGGGAAGGACAACACATCATCGACCCTGAAACCAGAGTCTACAGCCTTCCTAAACAAAGATACAAGACTTAACAAACCTGTAGAATAATCACATACTGAATTTAATTTCTGTCAAGAAATAAAAATAAGTTGTGGTGCTCTTGAATTCTTCTCACCTTGGAAACACTTCAGAAATTTAACTAATCAAAGCCCACAACAATCCCAGATGAAAGTGTCTTCACAGCTCAAGAAGCTATGGTCAGAAGTTTTGCCCAGTCACAAAGGCTATACTGGATGTGCATTGTGGAGGGATCTGGCCTGAGGCATCAAACCCCAATTTGTTCAATGTCTCAGGACTCCAAATTCACATCTTCCTTTCCAGAAGTCAAAGGCGGTGTTCTTCCAGCACACCCACCTGGCCTATTTGGCTGCCCAGCTCACTCACTAACAGCCGTGATGCTGGAGCAGATACAACACGTACAGCAGCTCCAGCCCATGCACCCTATTGCGCAGTGTTCCTGGGGAAGAGAGCAACACTTTTTCAAATACCCCACCTCTTTCTCCAGTATATCACAAAACTCAGTGCAAAGTTCTTACCAGAGAAAGCACTGTATGGCAAAGCAGCAACAACAGATGGAGTGCAGACCCAGAGTTTTCACAGTACAAGACAGAATACTAGAAGCCCACACGAACTATTCTGTTTCTTCCTCACCTTTTACTTGACAGAAATCAACAAAAAAACCTCTCACTAATTTTCATGGGAATGAATATGAAATCACTTCACTACACATCGCTCTAATTACTTCAGCAATCCTGAAATAAAGCATTATATAGTAATTATTACCTTAAGCCCATACATGGTGCAATGGACAGCAGTGGACACACATTCCCTGAAGATCCAAATAACTTAATTTTATCAATGGTGAATTTCTCAAAATTATAATGGCAAGTACTACTGAGATACCAAAACCAAGAAGCATTGTTCTTCCATTAATAAGCTGCTCAGGTTCAAAAATACCAACCAACAATGTGCTCTTTGTTAAGTATTTCAGAACTACCTAAGTCAATGATTGGGCTTCATTGGTTATCTCTGCTTCAGCTTATCCGGGTTGGGTACCAAACCAGGACCATTACATTTACAGAGTCTTGCACTTTCAGACAAAAACATGCAGTAACTAGCTTTGCCATATTTAATAAAACAATAAACTTTGGCTGACCTTTGGCAAGCGTTCGGGGTCACCAGGGTGCCGGGGGATAACCTTCTGTAACCTTTGGAAACCATAGTCAATGGTGGGTTCGTTCAGAGCTGAAACAACAAACAACATCATGATGTGACACATGCATAGCAAGCAGGCTTCGTTGCCCTGTAACAATCGTCCATGCATTGCAAGACCAATGAAGGATCTTAGCAAAATCTCCGTTTGCTGAAATCAGCACTGACAATGAAGTCTTGGTTCAAACGCTGCTTGAGGTTGGTTCTGAGGCTTTGGTTCAAACAGCAATGCAAACCTTCCCACTTGAGTTCCTAAAACAAGGTTGCTGGAAAATTTGGGGGTGCTGCATACATCTTCCAAATAGGAAGCAATTATTATCTCTGAAAGTCATGATGAAATAATTTTGATAAATAATTTGCACCCCAGGTTTCATGTTGGTTTTTTTCATGCCTTCATATTACAAGGAAGGTCCTTTGTGGGTGGAAAACAAAAGAAGTAACTACTAGGGAGACTCTCTTGTTCCAGATTCTGTTATACATTTAATATGCTCCATGTGCAATGATCACATAGAATTTTGTTGTGAACAACAGGCATTTGTCTTGGCAGAGGCTTTATTTTTTACTCGTTGACATTGACTTCTGCAGCCCAGCTCAGGCTCTGATCAGCACTAAACTGATTCAAAAGACAATGAATTTAGAAAAAGAATAATCTATGGTTTTAGTTCATCTTTCCCCAGTCCTTGTCAAGTAAAATGGAGGAGAGAAATGGTAGAACACTTTAATCTTAATGAAAATGCTGGTCTGCCTGCATTAATAGAAGCTATGATTGTGCCAAGTCTTTAAGCACACGCTTATCTGTAAGCACATACTTAAACCCATTTGCTTTCAGCAAAGCAAATTTGAGCATATTATGTTTTTTATATGATTGCCTATAATTACAGGGGACTGCACTGAGTGACCTTCTAGCTATATTTCCAATCATATGATCACTTTAAAACTCAGATGTTAGTGAGACTTCAACATATGCTTAAAATTTCCTAAGTGCTTTGGTGAACTGGAGCAACACTCAAGCATTCTCAAGCATCTCTAAACAACAGCGCATCTTAACTCTCCCATGCCAACAGAGATGATGAAAATTTCCACAGCAATTTGTTTGAGTTAAACGGAAAAAAAAATTCCAATATGGATTTTTATATTTTTAGAATTTTTTTTTTTTTTGGTGGGAAGTAAATGTAATTTTTTTTTTTTAATTTCTGTGTCACTTTAAAGTTTTTCTTATTTTGTCTTAGCTTATTAACAACAGCAAAAAAATATTTCTTGCACAAGGTCTGCCTACTAAATGATCTTCCACCTTTATGATGGTTTTGTTATGAACTTGATTATGTGGTTAGAACAATGCCATCTGATGCATGCAAAGAGATTTATCATCAAACTATATCTCCCAGTCTCACTTGTGTAAGCACTCTCACGTAGCTCAATTATGCTTATCCCACAGCAAGTTACACAACTCCATCAGCCTGATCAACAGGTCACAATTTGTCCATACTCTCACCTTTGAAGAGAACATTCTTCCATACTCCTAATGGTAAAGATCTTTAGCCAGACCACATTGTTATCATTAAATTAATATCTAATCCCTGGATTGTTTTTAATTAATTGGTGTTCCATAAACTACCCCACAAAACAGTCCAGTTTTTAAAGAAACTGCTCCATTTAAACTATTATTTTCAAATCACATTTCTACAGCAGATGGACCTACTGGCAACGAAAGGGTCAGATTTTTATACCCTCCTGGACCTTCAGTACATCCCAACTCCACAAGCAGGCCTGGTGATGCTACTCCGAACTGAGACAGAAGGAAGGTGGTGGAGGGAAATCCAGATCTACCCAACGGCAGTGAAGAGAAGTGTGTGGCTAACAGGGACTGGCTGGAGAGGCACACAGTCCAGCCGAATCTCAACATCTCCCTAATAGCAGAAAGGAATCTTCTCAGCATATCTCGAAATGACTGTTATGTAGATAGAAAGACAGACTAGAAATCAAACAGACTAGAAATCTTTCAGGGTTTTACTTTCTGGGCTATTGTCAGAAGTTTTTTATTTCCCCAGAGATCAAGGCATACCTCTAATCTCCTTGGGTTTTTTTTCATGCACTTCCCTTTATCAGTAATATCTGAATTTGATCTTTTATTTATATTCAGGTCATTGTATGGAAGGGGTGAGAGTAAGGCTTTTCCCCTGCTTGTGCCCTTTTTTCATTTTCAGATGGTTGGGCTTTTTTTCCACGTGTTTCCTTTCACAACCTGGCCACACGCTGTCCACTCTGTTGTGTAGTTTTGCAGAAAATATCACAGTATCTGTGTTTGCAGACCCCTGGGTTCATTACCTTTGTGTATCCTTACATGGCTTCTTATCATGGACCCATTTACTTTAGACCTTCTTCAAATTTTACAATATATTAATTTACTGCTATTTATGTTTATTATCAAAAATAGCTGCTCTCTGAGAAGATTAAAAAAACCCTACAGTTCTAATTTACATTTCTTTTGCAAATATGTTTGAAGATTTTAGCGTGGTTCTGTCAAATGTGTTTCTTCTCTAATTCCGTCTAGTTTATGACCATTTTCCCGTTACATCCTTTGGGAAAGTAGTTACTAAATTCTGCAATATTATAAATGGAGGCCAGTTCTGAAATCCCCCCAGAGATAGCAGTCATTTTCTTATATCTTCCCACACATTCAACACATTTGAAATCCACAGAGCATTTCCTGTGAGTATTTTCTGAACTAAATGACCAAAAAAAAAAAATGTTAATTTTATGGTCCAATCTCACAAGGCATCAAGCATCCTCTGAGAGATACTGAAAACTTTCTGCCTCAAATAGCTTCAGCTTTACTTTAGCGGGAGGCGGGGGAGGCTGCACATAGCAATTTGCAGGATTTGGGTCCTAAACTGTAGTTGTCAAATATCGCTCTTTAGTCTATAACCATTCAATCCTTTCAATCTTAGATAAAATGAAAAAAAAAAAGAAATCTTTAGCTGCCTGAACATCTAACCGCAGATTGGACAATATCAGTCCTCCCTTCCACGGCTCATTTATAATCCAAGTCAAATGTAATTAGTCACATCTCAGAAAAAGAGACTTGTTTAAATATTTAACCCCACCTTCAGCGTTAAGGCCACACCAGTTCCTGTGTCAGTAGCTGGCAAAACCCGAAAGAAAAGGTGATAGTCTGGTCTCCAAGCATTGCAGAAGAGCCAGCGCTCAGGCCACCCTTCACGGCAGCTAACGCACCAGGTTAGACACCAGCATCACACAAGGTTCTGCCTCTGTCCCCAGGACACGTCTCTGCCTTTGAACTCCATTCACAATAACGCGTTTCCCAGGGCTCTAATTCAAAGAACGTGGGGTTTTTTCCCCATTATTGGACAAAAAGAATCAATAAGGAATACAAACTCTCTATTTGTGTTCTTGACATCCATATATTAAAAACAAGCTAACACACACTGTACTTAAAATGCATTCCCATTACCCTAAATTTTAAAAGTACTACTAACTTTAAAAAACTGTATTAAATTCAAATAGGTCCCAAGGCTAATGGAAGCAATTTGTATACCAACCCAAACTGACTGGCCCACTTTTCAAAATACAGGTATGATAATCTTGTGGTTTTAAAAGGACATTTAAATTGAGAGACTGTGAATTTAGTACATAATTATACCAATAGAACCCTTTAACTTGTCAACTTGTAAATCTAAAAGGCTATCAATCATTTCTAAAGAGGAAATAAACCTTAAAATTCTTTGATTGACAGTGCTTACTTTTTATGTGAAAAAAAAAAAAGAAGTGGCCAGAAATCCATTTACAAAAGTACATTGTTTTACATAGGTGAGTAAAAAGCCAATAATTACACCTCCAAAAGACATATAAATCAAAGTAAGTACTTTTCCCTCACTTAGATATTTTAAGTTGCAGTAAACTTCAGGTAACTTTTTATTAAAATACTGTTCCAAATGCAAAGCTTATTGAAGGCATTAATAGAGTAGCATTTTCATTTAAGCTAATATAATAATTTTTGCAAATACAAGATTTAAGCCATTTTTCTCCTTCCAAACAATAAACTTTCAGCCTGTCTCTTGTGTGAATTAACTAAAATTACACCCAGGTGTACAAAATCTGCCTATCTATCCTAGTGTATGAGTTAAGGCACAATATTTATTATTCCTAACATTTTATGAATTACTTCTTAAACCCTTGAGGAAGAAATTTCTTTCAAATTAGAATCTAACAGAATAAGCCATAAAGCTCTATGCAGCAAGTCTAAAGCCATAACTTCTAAAAACTAAGCCTTTTAATCAAGAAAATGCACGATGTCTCTGGAAATAAGGATGCGTACATTCTATTCGTCTTTTCTATGTCCAACTTATTTTTCAACAGAAATGCTGCTTATGCCTCTGAGAAAAATGTTTCTACCACAACTATAATTTCAAATTCTGCACAAATAATTTTAATAACTACATGTAGACAATCTACCACCTTTAAAAATCTCTTTCTCTTTTTTTTTTTTTTAACTAGTCAGTGAAGGGCTTTTTTTAATATTTCCCATAATGAATTCCTACTGTGTCAATAAAGCTTTGGTTGTTAATTGAATGACTGTCTGATGTATCTGAGAGAGGAATTTGTTTCTCTGGCCACACTGCCAACTTACAGCAGAATGATCGACACTTAATATCAGCAATTAAAAGGACCTGTTCAAATATCATATGGAATTCGTAGCTTGGGGTAGTGTAGGAGAATTCTTCACCGAGAAAAACTTATTCAGCGAATGCAGAGAGTAATTGAATTAGACACATTTGAACATTATTATTCAAAGAAAAATAAACACACACTACATAGAAGCATTATGGAAATATTTCAGAATGTAAAACATATTCAGTTAATTTGTTTCCCATGCATTCATGGTTTCATTTATTCCTTTTATTTTTCAGCCCTTGTTTCTTTTTCATTCTGTTTGACCCAAAACCAATGAGAAAGCAGCACTTAGACCTATGAACTTCCCATATGCTTTTCCAGTGGAAAAGGCTGCAAGGAGA